TATATTAATTTTACATTGTACTTCCCAATTATTATATTCAAGTTAATACAGATTTCTTCCTGATTTCTTGAAACATAATTTCTCTAAGTTCCTTGAATACTTATTTTTTTCTTTTTACACATATTTTTATTTTGCATTGCACCTGGTGGTTATTTCATATAGTCTTTTTAAATCTAAAACAGGCCCAGATTGGTGGTGAGATGGGAGTGGGTCAAGTCGGATTGTGGATCTACTTGGAAGGTAGAGCCGGCAGGATTTGCCAAAGGGATGGATGTGACAATCCTAAAAGAGTCAGAGTGGCTGCAAGGTTCCGGCCCAAGCACCTGGAAGGAAGGCGCTGCTCTGAGATGGGGGAGACAGTGGAAGGAAGACACGGGTGGGGGAGGGCGGATCCCTATTCTGTACCTAGTGATAGTATTAAGATATCCGAATGCGAGGCTGCAGTTCAAGGCAGTCATCGGAGCCGTCAAGCCCATCCTCTGCATAAAACCTCACCTCACGACAGAGGTCAGGGGAAGGAAAGTTCTTGTTTAAGGTGTATCTTAGCAGCAGTCCTTTCAAATAGCCTCCGGAAGTTGCTATCTAAGACCCCAAGTCCCCTCCCTCCCAGGCGAGGACCTCGAGGCCCCTCCCTCTTCCCACCGCTGGCCAGCCCTGCGAGGGGCTCAGCGTGCTTAACTAAGAAGCTAGTAATTTTCCTGCGTAGGAACTGGGGTGTGTTGGTCCCCAGCCTCAGGCTAGGGACCTCTCCTTTCTCCCGCCCCAGTGGGTTCTTGTAAAGGACAAGTCTTGTGTTAAAAATCTTGGTCTGTGATTTTACTTTTCAGAGCAAAAGTCAACGCCCCAGTGGGTCTTCCCTGAACACCTGCTCCCTCCCTCCCAGGAACTTCCTCTGTCCCATCCCCGGTGTCCCTTGGCCCGCACCCGATCTGACGCAGCTGCGGGTCCCGCCAAGACAAAGCCTCGACGAGAACTCGGCAGCGCTCGCCCCTGCCTCGCCCCGGAACCGCGCCCGCCGGAGACGCGAGGCCCCGCCGCCCCGTTGCTGTCCTGCTACTTCATCCATGTGCTCAGCCCTACTCATCGAGCGCCTACTGTGTACAGGCCCCGTGCCGGGGTGGGGGTGAGGGTAGCGCAGGGACCCGAGGGGCCGGGGTCGCGGGGTCACGGAGGTCAGGACTTTGCCTCCCGCAGCGCCCCAGCCCGGCCCACAATGCCTTGCGTCCCACCCGGCGCCTCTTCCGGTTTACTTGGATATTTAGTAAAAGAATACGGAAAATATGTCGTGTATTTTCCATTTTATTTACGTCTATGTTTCTCTAGCATAAAGATGGATAAGTATAGATTTAAAATAAAGATGGATAAAA